GATGCATCCCAGCTTGTAAGACTTCAGAGCACAGACACTGGCCCTGAAGGTCAAGGATTTGATTTATCACTTGAAGCAGGTGCCTTCTCTAGACAACGTTAGCATACCTAGATACTGGGCAGCCCACACCTGAACCAAAGCTGTAGCCCATCTTCTGTAAGTATCAGCAATTCACAAGTTTTGAGGAAACGGAGAGCAATGACACACAGAGATGTCTAACGCTCTGCTTAACAGGGCTGAATCTCCTCCAAGGCTTTGAACGCAGTTGGGTGTTTTTCTATCCCTCTGTGCCATCATTAAAAACAACGCTTCTCTCGGTGGTGGACTGCAAACAGAAAGGCGGTTGCAGGCACCGCTTTTGCTTTATTCTGTGACACACTGTAGCTGGTTATTTGAGCAACATTCTGAAACATTTTACTCATCATTCAACTGTTAAACCTCAAGAGGCAGCTAAGAACTTCAACGGCTATTCAGGCTTTTTCATTATAACTGTTCCAAATATAAACTGTTCCAAATATTTACCAGAAGGAACATGATTTCTAAACGTTGTGATTTATTGCATTCTAAGTAATGTATCATCAGTTTATGCATTTGTAAGGAACAACATAATGTTTTAATACGCGCACACTTCAATTTTTCCAAATGAAATTTTTCATTTTTTTGTATCTTTTTTCCCTTTCTAATCAGGAGGTTAGAGCATTTCGCTGCATGACTACTGTGAAGTTATTAATACCTAGAACATGGTGTGTAGTTCACTCATTTATGAGGTGAGAAGTGAGAATGCAACGAATAGAAAAAGTTCTCATCTAATGGTTTAGTCCCTAAAGGCCTGCAAAAACTGGAAAAGGATCAGCCCCAAAGTGGAAGCTACGACTCTACCCAGGTCCTGCACATGAGTGGCAGGGACCTGAGCCCTTGAGCCATCACCACTATCTCATAGTTTCATCAACAGCAAGAAGCTGGATTCAGGAGCAAGAGCTGGGACTCGAACCTTGGTACTCCAATATGGGGTTCAAATGTCCTAGGTGGTAATAGCTTAGCAGCTAGGTAAAATGTCACTCTCAGGATTCTGATTTATGTGACACAGATAATGCCAAAATCCGAGTAAGATAGCTTTTTAGTTTATTTAAAATCTATTTTTCTGATACTGCAATGAATAGGAAATGTCAAGGTATAGTATCTCTTCAAAATGAGAGAGCACAAACTCTTAGGTTTGGGCCACCTGATGTTGCCCTTATTATGGGTTGAACATTGTGATAGATTGGCAGTGTCATGCGATTCAACCTAACAGATGATGTGGCATGTATTCTCAGGCTGCTTTTCAAGTTTGAATCTAAAATGATTTGAAAAAGAGCAACTGTGACTCTTTTGGGGAATGGTCTGAGATTTCCCAGAGAAACAGTCCTTGTTTTCTTGAGACTGATTTGAAGCTAAAATGAATCTGTTTATCAAATGAATGGACATATTTGTCTCTCTCACTATGCTAACCCAGGAAAGGCAAGCCAGGGATAATGAATGAAGGCATTTCAAGAACTCAAGGTACAGTATGTGAAAGGGGTAGAAAGGAAGACTAGCCCAGACCTATTCATATTTCAGGAGCAGGGTCGCCAGGGTTCCTCGGGTGCTCAGAGTCCTGAGGCTCTGGCTAAAACTAGCATACCTTCACTGCCACTAACCTTCCATTGTCAAAGGCAAGTGTCTCAGCCTCTCAAGTCAATCAGGGGTTGGCAAAGAGATGGAAAATGCTTAAACATTACGCAGCCGGCACTGTGAGCATAGGGGAGCATTGAGGAGAAGGGCCTTTAGGTGACCACATAAGCCAGTGGAAGTGTAGAGAGACTCCCCAACAGAGGGCCGTATTCTGTGTGTCTTGGTGGTCACAGCATCTGGAGTATTTGGGGTATTTCGTAAAGGTGTGGAAAAAGCAACTTAGTTTCTTTTGTTTAGCTCTTAACTTTAGCGTATGATTTCTGATCAGAATCCACATTGTTGGGAAACGTGATGATTAGCATGTAAAGGTGATCTAAAGTACACTACCTTACCAGAATGCGGTTTGAATCGAATGGTGATTGAGAAAAGACAAACTCATGAAGAATTCTCTTGATTCCCAGTTGCCCCAGATTTCTATCCTTAAAGGTGTACTCTGCCCAACACTAGAGGACCAGATCTTGAGAGACAACCCATCAGCAACAACAGCAAGGATGGCATTGGCATGGGCCTGTGTAACCAGCTCTGCTCACTAACCCATCAGCTCACTGGTTCCGTAGGTGCATTTACCGTCTGGTCAGTCACTCCCTGCAAAAGCCCCAGCTCTTTCAGGCCGCTTGTTACATCTCCACAAGGTATTACCCTGCGTAAAAACAGCACAAACATCCCAAAGCTTAAACACATCCTTCAACTTTTGCTTACACGAATGGCCTTGTGCACATGAAATTTTTCTGTCATCTATCTGTCCTTTGTTTAATTTGCAAGCTCCGACACAGAATCTAAAGGAAAACACTTTTCCTCTTTTACGTTGGCAAAGATTACTTGATTAAACTGCCTAAAATAATCCTTTTAATTGTGTGTTTGACAGTTTGTAGAATCAATGTAAAAAATTAGAAAGCATAGCATTTGAATGACCTTGCTGAAATACATACCTTGCTTCACTTCATATACTATGAAAAATTATTCCTTAATGATATTTATTATAACATCATTTCTATAGATAAATTCAGTGAAGTCACATAATCCCAAATTTAAAGTTATGGTATACCCATTAGACAAAATTTATTAAATATGCCTTGTAAAGAAACCAATAGAAATACTTCATAGTATAAATAATAGAAATATAAATACTTAGAGTGTGTAATGTATGTCCAAGTGTATAATGTATATTCAGCATAAACATAATATACTGAGCTATCCTCATAAAATAACTTCCTATCATATAGAAAACAAAGATGCCCAAATAAGAAACTATAAATAAAGGCAAATATGGCTATATCTAGGAGGATGAACTATATGAGAAATTGCTTTTAGGAGTTCAAACAAACTGTAATTAAAAGATGTTTATTTTCTCACAAAAAGTGTTTAAATTTCATGTATACTAAGGTCTTTTAAAAGGTCAGGTTTTCATATACTACAAAAAACCCATGCGTGGATTTCATTTAGTGCCATTTAGCTTCATTTGTTTGTAAGTTAAGTGCTCTCAAATTTATGTGCATGTATGTATATATGTAATTAAAAATTTGGGGGCCTGGCACAGTGGCCTAGTGGCTAATGTCCTCACCTTGTAGGTGCCGGGATCCCATATGGACGCCAGTTCTAATCCTGCCCAGCAGCTCCACTTCCCATCCAGCTCCCTGCTTGTGGCCTGGGAAAGCAGTCAGGGATGGCCTAAAGCCTTGGGATTCTGCACCCGTGTGGGAGACCTGGAAGAAGTTCCTCTCTCCTGGCTTGGGATTGGCGCAGCACCAGCCATCGCGGCCACTTGGGGAGTGAATCATCAGAGGGAAGATCTTTCTCTCTGTCTCTCCTCCTCCTCTCTGTAAACCTGACTTCGTAATAAAAATAAATAAATCTTTAAAAAAAATTTTATACATCATGCAAAATATACGATATGCTTTAATTTTAAAATAAATCAACGAAATGTGAGATAAAAAAAAAGGAGGGTAGGAGAGAGAGAAGGATTTTTTCAATAATATCACAGGTTAATCTAGAGTCATTTAATTGATGACACTGCCAATACAAATTTCATAGGAAGTTCCACCAATGGAACAGGTTGACTTGTCCAACAACCTTCAGAATCGTGTTAACCCACTGTTGTGGAAATTATCCTCGGGCAGGACACGTGTTGAGCAGAAAGCATGTTAGTGGGGAGAAGAGACCAATACTGCTGATTTCGGTGGAGAAAAATGAACATCCAGAGCCACTGAAGGATTCATTAGCGCTCATGCTAGAGCCGTGTGGAATGCAGCAGGATCAGTGCTTCCGACGCGTCTTGCTGGGAGCTCTGAGTGAGACCGAGGAGGGACCAGAGAGGCCACTTCTGTGTCAGAAAACCACTGCAAAATGCACACCAGCAGAGCTCAGGAGCTGCTCCTGGGGGTGACAGACATGTCAGGAACAGAGCGGAGAACTGAGGAAGGATGCCCCGGGGCACTGCTTCCCTATGGAGTCCTGGTTGTGATCCAAAAGCCCCTTAGCTGGATCTGTAATGGAAATATGCCAGTGTCACTGGCGTCGTTATTCTGAACATCTGAAAGAGGTCTTTTCTTATTTCTACCTTAGTCTTCTGTCTTAAACCATTAAGGGAAAAATAAGACTCTGCTTCAGACTTTTTCCCTACTGATTTATAAGCATAAGATGTCAGAGACTTTCTTCAGGCTGGTTCATTTTAATATTAAATCATTTCATCACTGTGCAACTGCTCTTAAATTTCAGCATTCATGGCTTGTGCATTTACTAAATTAATACTCAGCACTTCCAGAGCATTTGCGGTTATCAAAGCAATCCACAAAACCTAATGAATGCTAATGCTATCCTAAGAGAAGGCTGTAACTAGCTAACTGAGCTCTAGCTTGAATTATTTTTAAATGATTTTCAACTTGGGAGGAAAGTTGGAAAGCATGGGAAAAAGTGTGTAGTGTCTGGTACCGTTTGCTGTCTCCTAAAAGTAATGATGCAGCAAATTGAAGTGAATCACCCTCAAAAGGATATTAAGGTTTGTTCCACCTGGAATTAATCATCTTTAAGAATTACCTGTTGCCTAAACTGCACTAACTAAAGCATTGCTTGGGATAAACAGCTAGCAACAAAAATAGCTCATAATCCGAGCCCTTCTCTCTCCTCAACTAATTTAATTGAAATCCTTGGATTGCATTGCTTTCCTTTCTCTATTTGCAATAAACAAATAAACAAAGATAATAGAATAAAATGTTTTATCTTTGGTTAATTAATAAGCATTTATATTTTCTTTTTCTTAAAAAAAATATTTTTTTTTGGCTGAGAGTGGGACGTCCAGCTTCTCAGGGCCTACCTTTAGGCCGCAGAGGGCAACCAGCGCAAACTTCAACAATGGGTGATGTTGAGAAAGACAAGAAGATTTTTGTTCAGAAGTGTGCCCAGTGTCACACCGTGGAAAGAGGAGGCAAGCACAAGACCGGACCCAATCTCCACAGTCTATTTGGGAGGAAGACCGGGCAAGCCGCCAGCTTCTCCTACACAGATGCCAACAAGAACAAAGGCATCACCTGGGGGAGGACATCACCTGGCATCACCTGGATGGAGTACCTGGAGAATCCCAACAAGTACATCCTGGGCACCAAGATGATCTTCGCCGGCATTAAGAAGAAGGATGAGAGGGCAGACCTGATAGCTTATCTCAAAAAAGCCACTAATGAGTAGTGCTTGGCCACTGCCTTACTTATTACAAAACAGAAATGTCTCATGACTTTTTTATTGTCCACCATAATTTAATTCTCCTATACCAGAATTCAGATCATGAACAGCTGACAGAATAGTTTTGTATGGCAGTCCTGATTTTAAATATGATTGCTTTGTGTGGTAAGATAAAAAGTGATTGGGTTTGTTGAAAAAAATATATTTTTTATTAGAAGGATAGACTTGCAGAGAAAAGGAGAGACAGAAAGAATGTATCATTCTCTGGTTCATACCCCAAATGGCTGAAAAAGCCAGAGCTGAGCTGGTTTCAAAGCCAGCAACCAGGAGCCTCTTCTGGGTCTTCCACATGGGTGCAGGGTCCTAATACCGTGGCCATCATCCACTGCTTACCCAGGCGGTCAGCAGGGACATGAATGGAAAGTGCAATAACCAGAACATGAATTGGAATCCATACAGGATTCTGGTGCTTGCACATGGGGAGTTAGTGAATTAAGCCATCGCACTTGGCCCTATATAATGCTTTGTAACTGATGCATATCCTGTTTAGCACTAGGAAAAAGGGAAGAAAACAAAAGAAGCAACAAAACATCAGTCTACTTTTACTGCCTTCTAGTGACTTTAAATTTCTTTGCATTGGAAAAGCAGATTTAGGACAAACAACTAGTAAGGTTTGGGTTGACAACTGTGCTGGCGAAAAGGAGAAACTCTTGTGAATTGAACAAATTAGGTGGTATTCAAGGAAGTGCTGGACTTGGAGTAGGGCTTTATCTGGTGATGGGGCAGGACTGGAGTAAGCGTTAAGGGAGTCACTGAAAGTTCTTGAGTCAGAGTTGGAAGGATGAAAGGGCCCTTTTAGGCCAAGAATCATAAGCATCCCTGCAGACTGGAGGGTTCAGTTTGAACGCTGATAGATTGCAGGACACAGTAGGCTGAGAGCCGCAGTGTGACTGGAAGGCAAGCATCGGACTCAGGTGAAGACAGATTCAAGCCCTAATCCTGTGAGTGGGGATCGCCTTGAGAAGATTCCATCCCTGTCGAGCTTCCGTGTCCATGTAGAGGGAGAAGGAGGATGGTTATACATAAGGTGGAACGAGACTTCAATGAAGGAATACATGAGAAACAGCAACAGTTGGCCCAAGATAAAGACTTTGATTTTCTAGTGAGGACAGACGAGAAACGTGACATTTTTTTCTAGCTCCGTAGAGTTGTGAGATACAATAAGTGGCATCTCTTTCCACAGCTTTGTTGCAGTAGAGTTCAATACATGCTTGTTGATTTTTCTGTCTTGAATTTCAATTCCCTAAAGACAAACTTTAGATCTAGGCATGCACGATCTCTGACAGCAACAAAAATAGTAGTCACATTCTATGGGAACCAAATTTGAAATCTTGGTCACACCCTTAAAACATGTACCCTATTTTGTGTTATTGAAGATGTGCAAAACATCTCATAACCAATAGTTCCCTTACCATTATCCATCTTCAGGTTATCCAAGGATTCCAGCACAAAGCAAGACTTATACCCTCTTCTAAATCTGCCAGCAGCAAGTGTTAAGCAATACAAAGTACCAGATAAACAACTTAGAGTAATAACTTGGATTTAAGATGCTGTTGGAAAAAGTTATGATGTAGTCAGAACTTATTCAGCCTCCGTACTGAATAAACCCTCGCCTCCACCCCCTTTTTTTCCCACTGTGGAAATAAAATGAAGTCAGTTTTTGTTCTTCCTGGAATTCATCTTTCAAGTTGCAATATAAAAATAAAATGGAATATGAATTTCTGATTTTAGATTTCTTGAAAGATCTCAAATCCTTGGCAAGACTATGGATGACTAGGTGGCATCATACATTCAAAAATACAAATTATAGAGGTGCCAGCTGCTGGTTATCATTTAGGATGAAGGCATATCCAGTGTTGGCTTTGAGGCAAGATTATATTGTACTGAATATATACATAAATCTAGAAGTTATTAATTATTATGGGCACCAGTTTAAGCAATAGTAAGTAATGAAAATTTAACAAAAGTGTTCAGAAGTGACTGTTTTATTTGCCTAACTTTAAGTTAGACATTATCTGGGTTCTAGAAAATCTTGGAAATCCAAACCAATATAAAATTACCCTCCAATTATACATTTTCATCTTAACTTCGCAATTCAAATTTTGTGAAGCCTCCAACTTGTCTTCAGGAAAATATCTATTTATTTTTATTGGAAAGTCAGATTTTACAAAGTGAAGGAGACAGAGAGAGAGAAAGAGAGATTTTCCATCTGCTGATTCACTCCTCAGATGGGCACAATGGTTGGAGCTGAACCTATCTAATTAGAAGTCAGGAGTCAAGAGCATCTTCTGGTTCTCCCATATGGGTGTAGGTATCCAAGGGCTTGAGCCATTCATCCTCCTTTGGTTTCTCAAGCCATAAGAAGGGAGCTACAATGGAAGTAGAGCATCTGGGGATGAACTGGTGCCTCTATGAAATGCCAGTGCCCGAAGGCAGAGAATTAGCCTGTTGAGCCTCATCCCCAACACCAATTTCATATTTTCCATGAATTATAAGGCTGATAGTATCCTCTTTGAGCTCTTGCTTCTGTCTGCACCACTCTGTATCATGCTGTATTTGGCTGACATAAACATCTGTTATTTCTGTAAAACTCTGTAACATTAAGGCTTATGATACAAATATCCATGACATGAAGCATAAACAGTTTTACTCATCACAGAACTTTGGAGGAGCTTAAGTCAAACACTACACCTTATTTTTTAAAATAACGATTTATTTTACTTTGTCTGAAAGGCAGAGTTTTAGAAAGTAAGAACCAGGCACAGATCTTTCATCTGCAGGTTCATTCCCCATGTGGTTCCAAGAGGCAGAGCTGGCTCAGGCCAAAGCCAGGAGCCAGAACATCTTCATAGTCTTCCACATGAGTGGCAGAGGCCCAACAATTTGGGCCGTCTTCTGCCACTTTTCTGAGGCCATTAGCCGGGTTGGTGTTGCAGATGGTAGCTTGGCCTTCTCTACTGACGCCAGCCCTTACACTGCATATCATGAAAATTGTGTCTAGATTACTAACGCAAGCTCATCAGCTCTATTACTTTTGCTGCCTCACTGCAAACATCCCACACCTTTTGGCATCCACTTCTGAAGACAGTACTTTCCAACTTCTGTCATGAGTTCTGCTTTGGAGAGCGCCAACTTCAGATGGTAATATATTGCACATATCTTAAAGATAGATCCTGCAGGCTGAGCAGTTATACAGAAAGGGGTAGTTTATATAAAATGTGGAATAATGTCTGTGATTTTAAAAACCCTCAGTAAGTTAACCAGAATACACCAGATGATTAATGTGGTTTAGCTTGCTCACTCTTTGTTAGTTTCCATTCAAGATTCAAATATGGGAAATGGAATGCTATTAGACTACGCCATCCCATTAATTCTGATATGATCAGGGATGCAGCCTCCTGTGTGACATGGGTAGAAATGGATTACTGCCTGGAGTTAGCTGGGGAAACAAAACGGGTTCCTTACTAAAGTTCTAAGCCCTCTTTTATGTATGAGAAAACACACACACACACACACACACACACACACACACACACACACACAAATTCGCAAAGTGACAGTAAATGAGGAAACAGAAATTGTATCCACCTCCATGGATGCTATATCTACTAGTCTTTCTTACATGATGTTAATGAAAACTATCATGTTTTGGCACTTATTGTACATAAGCTCTTGAAAATATGCTCATTATACCTATCCCTGAATTGCAACTATGAGTGAAATTGCTTCTAATTCGCTATTTTGCTTCAGTTGAGTTGGAAAGGAAATAAACTATTGATTTTCCAAATCTTCTATGAGTCTTTGGTGGAAAAAAAAATAGTGTGATTTCTAGCTTGGCTTTAAAATGTTGACAGTTAGCTAACAAACATTGCAGTGGCACCACCTAATGGTCTTTTTGGACAGGGACAATGGGCGTTAGTAAGTTACATGGGTCTACATCAAGGTGAACCTGATGTGCACTGGAATCCAGAAGGAAAAAAAGAGCTGCATTGAGGTGGCCATAAGAATGATAATAAAGATTATATTATGATTGTGATTGAATAAAATGTGTTTAAGATTCAGAGGAAGAAAATTCCATCACACAGCAACCAGTGCAGTTCACTTCGTTATCACTGTTATTTTTGTGTATGGAATTTGTGAACTCTTTACAGAAAGAGCCCCAGAGAGCAATGGTAACTAAACTGGCATTCTCAGTTATAACCAAGCCACATATTTTGGCAATGTGGGCTTTGGAAAAAGACTTCTGCACATCCATAAATCAACCCAAATACCCCCATTCTGGAAAGCACCACAAGTTAAGGTTGTGTGAGTTCAAAGCATAGCATTACAGATATGTAAAAGGGCTTTACTTTCATCTGGGAACAGACACTACATATAAATTTAGAGTTGTAGAGTCCCTGAGAAATAATTGAACTTTTAGAACATTAAAACCTTTTTTATCTCAAGAAAAAAAATTTATCACCTGAGATGAAATTATATATTTCTGTATCTCATTTATGCATAGGAAAGTTTACAAAATAAGCTATGAGGTTGCAAACTCATTTCAAAACTAAAATAACAATTACCCATGAAACATCCGAAGCTGCTTAAAACCTTTTACAAATAAAGTCACCTTCTTTGGTAATTGGATGTTATTACTTTTTAGGACATATCTTACAAAACAATTCTCTGTGTTTTTTTCAATAAAAATTTTTGAACTTTGTTCACCTACATTGGTAGAAAAAGAAAACATAAAGGCAAATCTTACTAGACTGCCTCACCATAAAACAGACTTTGGAGTCTCTTTTGGCCGTGGGCTTCATTTTTTACTGACTTGGCAGTGAAGAGATGATTTTGATTCAAATTGAATCCAGGCAATCATGATTCTTGTGCATTCATTTGGATTTAAGATAATTATGCACAACTCTATGGCACAGGATAGCTGAATACATTTACATTCCTTTTGGAGATTGGAAAGAACACCGCAAAACAATAAGTAACACATTAATTAATACAAATAATGAGAGGGAGGTGAAGTTTAGATTTAGATTTATGACTAAATGAAACCAGTCAGGAACTCATTTTACCACAATGTTTAAAACCCA